AGAAAATAAGGTTTTTGATGAGAACATTCCAGCATTTTTCTCCATATAATGGACTTCAATGGGAACCAAGCGGTTCAAGGTCCAGAAGACAGTTTCAAAGGGCTTTAAACTATGAACGATGAATAAGGGTCTTATCAAGTGAAACGATCGCTCATTTAATAAATAAATATCAACGTTTAAGTTTTATAAGCTCAAATGCTCGACTTGCTCTGTTCTGTGATGCGCGTTCGTGACTCCTATTCAAACTCGTTCATCAAAATGAACAAATCTCTTCCCGAGTCAACTCGTTCATTTCGTTCGTTGAATGAAGCAAATGACACGATTCGTGAAAAGATTTGTCAGACACAAAAATAAATAATCATTTCCTGACTCTCATGTTTCAAACCTGTTAATGTTGTTTTATTATGTAAAAAAAATTTCAAAAAAATTATTTATATTTTATGGAGCTCTTTTCCATAAAATAAAATATAATTAAGTGAATGTTTAAACTCCCATAAAGAGTGTACTACTAATAAACTAATTTGGAATACATTTTTTTTCCAGCTAATTATTCCTTTTAAATGCATGTCATGTAATGTAACTATATTCCTTTTGTTTCTAGGGAGTGGAGTTTTTCGACGAGAAGTTGAATTCCCTGTGCATGGCGTGGCTCATTGATCACGGTAGGCCTTCTTCTGGGTCTTTGTTTTCCAGTGTATGATTATTCAAAATGATGTAAAAAGATGTATTGAGTTATTGACAACAATGAACCAAAACTTTTAAACTGTATAAGTTCAAGCAGATGCATTTGCTTACATTTGAAGACAGCACAGCCAAGACGTGAAGCAGTTGTCTCTGCCTCTCTTCTGTCCTACTCCTTCCCCAAAAGGAGAAAAAGAAATGCATGTATCTAGACTTTTCTGTTCTGCTCTGTTGGACAATTACAAGAGATCATTAAGACTCTATAACTCTTACCCCCCTTCTCTCTCTTTTACTTATATGTGTCTGTCTTTATTAGGGGCCTTTCTTTTTATTATTATTCTGCTTTTGAAGTGTATGGCAACCCATAAAACAACTTGTGGGAAAATTATACAATTTGGCACATAGATAGAGGACAGGTCTGAACATTAACCACATTTTAGAGTCTTTAACTCAGTCTCTAATGCCACCAACTGTCCATAGTTGCGGTCATGTTTATGCTAATAACTTTTGAACCATAAGGGCTAGAAACAAAATTGTTTTGCCCTGAAGGTACTCGAGAGAATTGTTTGCTGAAAATTCAGCTTTGCCATCACAATATCAGCTTCATAGGTGTTTTTTTTTTAACAGATACGAATTTAACTCCCTGCTGATCTTGTTTTGAGTGGCATGTCAATGGTAATGAATGTTTCAAAATTGATGAGCCTCTTAGTAAATCTTCAATTTAATGCTTGTCGGAATGGTTATCATCTTGCTCTGAACCATGTGCTGAGTAGATCCTGCTGTTCAGGTGTTTTGCATGGTGATTTTCAGTGAGGAACTTGACCACACCGTAGTTTTTTTTATACTGTACAAACTGTATATTTTATCCCATTACACTAACCCTATCCCTAAACCTACCCATCACAGGAAACATTCTGCATTTTTGCATTTTCAAAAAAAAAAAAAAATCATAAAGGTGTTTACCCATGGGGACCTCAATTTAGGTCCCCACAGTGACCCCATGAGTCTGTTTGCATTCAAGTTTAAGTCCCCATCGGGATAAAAAAAAACATGTACACACGCACACACACGCGCACACACAATTAAACTCTGACACAGTTGTAGACAAAGGGCCCAGATGGGTTACATCACTGGAATGTTGTTGTATATCCTGTGCTGCTGGGCCTGTGCTATCGTCTTGCATAAGAGCTCAGAGCCGAAGCGGTGCTTTTATCGGTTCTGTCATGTGTAAATATGAACTCATCTTTCTGACAAATACACACAGGCACATATGCAGAAGGTACACGGTGTCAAATGGATTGTCTCGTTTTGTGTGTGTTTTATAATCCTCTTTTTAAAGGTTGACCTACTTCATGAAAGTGCTTATCACATTTTGGCTGACTTGAACTATTTCTTTTTTTCTTTCTTTCATAAGCTCTGTGGGGACCAAGAGAGGGGATTTGTCATGAATTTTAAACTTTAAATAGGATTGTCTCAGGCAATTTCCCAGCCTTTTGAGAAAGGGGGTTATGTCATCGTCTGACTGATTTGAAAGAGCCGCCCGTCTGATGTTAAGTAGATTTGTGATGCACAATTTCACAGGATGTTTGTATGTATTTACTAAGGTAAAATGGTTTAGATTGTGATCTCTATTGGGGTTATTGTGAAGTAAGGGAGAATGTAATCTGTGGGGGTAATGCTGAGCACCAAAACAACGTTGATTTAAACCAATTAGGTCCAAGTCTCATACCAGAAATCTGATCAAACAAGCGATGAAAGCTGAAAATGGCAAGTATTTTAGTAAATGTTACAGAAGTAAATATTTCAGAAGAAGTTATTTCATGTCTTGTCGTCTTTGAGGAGGAAAACCAAGGAAAATTATGGACCTGTTGGATAAAGAGTGTGGTGTACTTAAAATTCGTACTAGTAAGGTAAAGATTGTTGTCATCAACCCTTAAAGGGACACTCCATAAATCACCGTTTTGACTTTAAATTGGGATTTAAGTTAAAATTTTCTTAAAGGTTCTTGCTTTTATTGTGTGAAATTAATACTAGCAGGATACTGGTGAATCTTGCTAATTATAAAAACAAATCTAGTTTTCAAAATTTATTCAATATACAGTGGAAAAAATCCCATTTTATTTTTGTATTTGTGTGTTTTGTATGTTTGTGTTTTATTTATTTATTTGATCATATTTATTTAATGGATGTATTTTTAATTGATCCATTTTAATTCAATTTAATACATTTATTAATTTGTTTTTTTTTATATATATATATTACATATATATATATGTATAATTTTGTTTTTCTCAATTATTGTTTAATGTCACATTTTGGAAGTAAAATGGTGTGTTAATGCTATTTTATATTGAATTTGAGTAACGACTAGACATAATAGTGGTGGTTAGTGATGGTAAGGTTTTACAATAAGATTTTTGTTCTGTCACTTTAATGAGTGAATTGTAAGTCACTATTTGGATAAATCGAAGTCTTAAGGATAAGTGACTACTTGCTCACAAAACTGAGGAATGTGTCTCATCAGGTTGTATGGCAGTGAACAAAATCTGGCAGCATGGACTGAAATATTTGTGATTGCAAAGTTTCTAAATGGCGTTGGCCCACCGCATTGATTTTAGTATGCGCGTTAACAGAAGTATCTTTGCCGTGTTTTGCAGTGTATGCCATCCGAGAGGCTGCCACCGGCAACCTAATGAAGCTGGTGGAGAAGTTTGGAGCAGAATGGGCTGAGAACACCATTGTGCCCAAAGTCCTTGGCATGGCCATTGATTCCAACTACCTGCACAGGATGACCACTCTTTTCTGCATCAATGTAAGTATGGATAGTCATTTCATCAGTACCTGGTGTGGCAAGATGGGAATAACTGGAAGCCTTTTTTTTTCCTTTTCTTTATTTGGGTCAGGCTCTGTCTGAAGCATGTGGACAGGAAATCACTACCAAGCACATGTTGCCTGTAGTCCTCAAGATGTCCACTGACCAAGTGGCCAATGTGCGCTTTAATGTAGCCAAGTGCTTACAGAAGATCGGGCCAGTTCTGGACAGCAGGTTTGTTTAAATAGCTGCCTATACCCTATTGTTGTTAATGGAATAAGCAAACATACAGCTATACTAACATTGATGTATCCCACAGTGCTCTGCAGGCAGAAGTCAAACCAGTCCTGGAGAAACTAGCCACGGACCAAGATATGGATGTGAAGTACTTTGCTCAGGAGGCTTTAAGTGGTACATATCCCTTAATCTCTTTAACCTTCAAGCATAAATTTACTTGGATCATTTTCATTCTCCTCTTTTTGTTTTTCTTCTCTCTCTGTAGTTCTTGCATTGGCTTGACTGACTTCCTCTCCACATCCAGTGAAAAACTGACAACACAAAACCTGTTGCATTCTATTTATTGTTCTTTTTGAATGATTAAGTATTGTCTGTTACTTCTACTCTCAAAGATATTGAATGTTCAAAGGATGGACTTTTGGTTAAGTAACACTGTTAGAGCAGCTCGGTTCTGCATGCTTGTACAGTTTGAGCTTAGATCTTCTCAAACATCACCCGTGAGCCATTCCTGTACATTCGTATCATAATCTGTACATGCCTGCTTAAGCATGCCTTTTGCTTTTCTTCAACCGGAGCTCATCCTGCCAGTAGCAGATGGTGCAAAATGCCTGTTTATTTGCTTTGATAGATTTGCTAGGGCACAGCACATTGTTTACACGTGTTCCCTCTCCAGAGGGGACAAAAATGTGCTCACATTGTTTAACCGCAGAATCCTCTTTGTGCACTGTGTGAATGGGTAATTACTGGCTCTCTTGAAATTTGCTTTATGCAATGATGTCACACCTTTATCACAAGCTTTTTCCATCTAGGGACCATGTAATTGAATCAGTTGTGCTCTAACACGGGATGCACGTCTTAAACAGCATCACTCATTTCATTCACACAGTTTTGCCTGCAGGTTTGTGCCCTCGTTCGTCCTGAATATCTCCCTTTTATTGACTTGTAGACTTGCTTTAACTTTTGTGCCAATGAAATGTCTAGTTATAGTACAATTGTAAGTTGTCTTTCATGTTTTTATTTAAGTGGGGGGCATGTTAAAAGTGTGGTCATGTAATCATTGGGCTGGCATGGAGGAACTTTGTCTCGTGGAAGGTTAGACTTAAATGAACACTATTATTCATTGCTCCAAACAGCTTACTGCATTCTTAGGAAACGACTTATTGTTCTGTTTTTGTTTAATTAGTTTGGGATATTGGTGTACCTTTAGTACTAAATAAAGTCATTTGAACCACATATCTTGCCGTATTCATCTTTAACGCACTCTTGCAGTCTAATCGCCACATGATTCTAATTGGAACTGGGTGTGCATCAAACCTGTTGGATCAAAGAGTAAACTCGAGAGTTTGTCATCCTATATAATTTTAAAGATTAATGTGGAATCAGGTTTTTGGTCTCCTGATAAAGCGTTTTCTACTGTTACCTGGATAGTGATCTTATCGACCGCATTGGATTGCATGCTTTCGTCACTGAAATTGGCAAGAACTGGTGGTGCCGCACTCCTGAAGTAAAGATTGGATTTCTGAGTAAATCTTAAAATTTGAACCAACTGCATAGTTAAGAAGGGTAACACTATCCTGTATCATTTGAATTTAAACCCATGCAATTCTGAGGGCATGTGTTTGTAGATTAGGCAGACTTTAAAGGAGTTCACTTTTTTGAAAAATGTTTTGCTGATACCCCATGTCATCCAAGATATCCATGTCATTTTTTCTTCAGTCAAAAGAAATGATGGTTTTTGATGAAAACATTCCAGGATTTTTCTCCATATAATGCACTTCAGTTGGAACCAAAGTGGGATCGAATGCTCGAAGCTCAAATGCTCGCCTTGCTGTGTGACGCAGGTTTGTGACTCTCCTGTTCGAACTTGTTTGTCATAATGAACAAATCTTTTTCCGAGTCATTTGGTTCATTCAACCAAGGAAACGAACGAATTGACTCTGAAAAAGATTTGTTCATTTTTATTTTTTTTTTGTTCATAAGTGCTGATGCTGGATCCAGACACAGTGTAGCTTTATTAACAAACTTAGGAACAGGATCCAAAAACACAAAAAAAAAATGCCTGAGGGCGGAGAAGCATAGGCAGTCCTGGGTGAGGGACGGAGGGACCGTACAGTGCAGGCATACCAGACTGGGCTGGAGACCAGGGCGGAGCAGGACGAGGCAAGGGCCAGGGCGGAGCAGGACGAGGCGAGGGCCAGGGCGGAGCAGAACGAGGCGAGGCCCAGGGCGGAGCAGAACGAGGCGAGGGCCAGGGCGGAGCAGGACGAGGCGAGGGCCAGGGCGGAGCAGGACGAGGCAAGGGCCAGGGCGGAGCAGGCAAGGGCCCCCACAGAGTGCCTCTCCCAGAGCCCAGTTGCTGACAACTGCTGGACCCATCTTTTGGTGAGTTGTTCTGTGACGTTGTGCGGAGAAATAGTAACATACTGAGGCTGGATCCAGACGCAGTGTAGCTTTATTAACAAACTTAGGAACAGGATACAAGACTAGAAACAGGACTCGAGAATTCAAAAACACCAACGTTCACATAATTCAACAACTCACAAAGACAGGGCAGAAACACGGGGCTTAAATAATCAAGAACAAACGAGCTAGACAAGATAACAAGGGGGCGTGATAAATAAGAAACACCTAGGATGGTTAATAGATGGGGAAAACCCACATTATGACATTGCCCATATATGAATTGAAGATATGTCATAATAGCAACACTATGAATGCAAATTTAAACATTTCACTTTAACTTATAGGTTTAAATGAAAGCAAAGATGTTTGAACTGTACATCTAATTCATGAGAGAATTAAATAACCGCGTTAATTACGATAAACATTAAATTGAAAATAATAACACTTTAACAAGATGCCACTTTGGGACTTCTGTGCCAAATCTGAAGGGGTCTTATTTGATCGTTTTACTTCAAACTTAAACTTGTACTCCTCACATCTACAAACACGAATGTGTTCACAAATCCCTCGTTAGCAAGCAGACTCAAAAACTTTGATATTCAAAATTATACAATGTCATAGATCACTATTTTCCAGAGACAAAACTGGATCAGTTAACCTCAAAACTGTTTGATTTGACTAAACTCGACTTAACTTTAAAGACTTAAAAATAGTGTAGCCATCAAAAGTGATGTGAGATGAGATTTTGTGGCATTTATGGTCAGGAGAAAAAAAATTAAGTTGGTACCCTACTGAGTAACAATTCCACCATAAACCTGGCTGCCGTTGCAAGACATCAACAATATGGATGGTGTTTAAGCTTTATGGAAGTTGAGATTTTATACCATAGTTTTACACTTGTTCTTTGTTCCAGATGATAATGAAAAGAAACGGATTCAACTGTGAACAGAACTGGAGTGGGCATGTGTGAAATAGACATTTTCCTAACAGCTGGAACCCTATTTCACTCACAACACAATCTTATTTGAGTTGGGTAAGAGAAATATTTAGTGGTTGTTGATTTCGAGAACAGTGGGGGAAAAAAACAGCAGTTTCTCCGCTTGTGTAATTTGTGAGCATTCTTGTGTGGTGAGCTGTCTGGAAATCGGGCTCTTGCCTCATCTATGATCAGAATGAGTGAGTGAGTGAGAGAGTACATGGAAGTGTGAATGAGAGCGAGTGAGCTCGGGGTCATGTGAAAATCACATCTTCCTTTGGGAGCGAGCTCTGAACGCTCTGCTGAATGCATTAATTGAAATGGTCTAATAGATAATTGAAAGTTTGGTGAGCATAGATTCACATAATTAAAGCCATGACCTATCTCAGACACAAAAACTACTTTCATTTGTTTCTTAGTTTAAAATACTCTATATCCCCAGCTTCATAGACAAGGATTAAGCCTATAGACTAACGTGCATGTTTGAGCTTTAAAAGTCTTTTTAAAAATATGTCAGTGCCATTGTTTTGTCTGAAGATGTCTTTCTAAGGCACATTTATAAAAGCTACTTATGTCTAAAATAAAGAGCTAATTCTGGCTTAATCTAAACGCTGTTTGTGACCAGGCCTGTATGATCTTTAATGTAAACACAATGATTTTAAGATTTTCCAGGGTGTTCACAGTATTTGATCATTTTCACAAAAATGTCATGGCCCCCAGAATATTTTGTTGTATGAATATCTGAATATGCAATATATCAAAGGAAAGAACACACACACGTTGTATTCTAGTTTCCTTCAACACTTGAATATGTTTCATAAAAAAGGCAATATTTTAAGCAAAAAGGCGAGAAACACGCACGGCGCGCGATTGCCATTACATTAACCACAAATTATGTAAAATCTGCATGACATGGCATAATGGTTATAGTGGATGAATTTAAACATTAGGGCACATAACATGTTTTTCTCCCTTTAATGGCAGCTTCAAAGATTTGCAATAGCCTGGATATGCATTTTGTAGCTTATTTTATCTCCAATGACACTGCCCAAATTCGCCCGAAAACGAAAAAAAACGAAAGGGGTAACACTGTCGTTTTTTTTTTCGGTCGAAATTTTGAATTTTGATATCTCAGCTCTGGAAGGGTCTAGAGCCTCCATTTTTGCACTCAGATCAAAGTCTTGTGGCCCTCTATCATAATCCAGAGTTTTGAGAAGATTGGAGAAACTTATTTTTTCGCCCGAAAACGAAAAAAAACGAAAGGGGTAACACTGTCGTTTTTTTTTCGGGTCGAAATTTAGAATTTTGATATCTCAGCTCTGGAAGGGTCTAGAGCCTCCATTTTTGCACTCAGGTCAAAGTCTCGTGGCCCTCTATCATAATCCAGAGTTTTGAGAAGATTGGAGAAACTTATTTTTTCGCCCGAAAACGAAAAAAAACGAAAGGGGTAACACTGTCGTTTTTTTTTCGGGTCGAAATTTTGAATTTTGATATCTCAGCTCTGGAAGGGTCTAGAGCCTCCATTTTTGCACTCAGGTCAAAGTCTCACAGCCCTCTATCATAATCCAGAGTTTTGAGAAGATTGGAGAAACTTAATTTTTCGCCCGAAAATGAAAAAAAACGAAAGGGGTAACACTGTCGTTTTTTTTTTTGGGTCGAAATTTTGAATTTTGATATCTCAGCTCTGGAAGGGTCTAGAGCCTCCATTTTTGCACTCAGGTCAAAGTCTCGTGGCCCTCTATCAGAATCCAGAGTTTTGGGAAGATTGGAGAAACTTAATTTTTCGCCCGAAAACGAAAAAAAAACGAAAGGGGTAACACTGTCGTTTTTTTTTTCGGGTCGAAATTTTGAACTTTGATATCTCAGCTCTGGAAGGGTCTAGAGCCTCCATTTTTGCACTCAGGTCAAAGTCTCGTGGCCCTCTATCATAATCCAGAGTTTTGAGAAGATTGGAGAAACTTAATTTTTCGCCCGAAAATGAAAAAAAACGAAAGGGGTAACACTGTCGTTTTTTTTTTTGGGTCGAAATTTTGAATTTTGATATCTCAGCTCTGGAAGGGTCTAGAGCCTCCATTTTTGCACTCAGGTCAAAGTCTCGCGGCCCTCTATCAGAATCCAGAGTTTTGGGAAGATTGGAAAAACTTAATTTTTCGCACAAAAACGAAAAAAACCACAGGGGTAACACTGTCGTTTTTTTTTTCCGTCGAAATTTTGAATTTTGATATCTCAGCTCTGGAAGGGTCTAGAGCCTCCATTTTTGCACTCAGATCAAAGTCTCGTGGCCCTCTATCATAATCCAGAGTTTTGAGAAGATTGGAGAAACTTAATTTTTCGCCCGAAAATGAAAAAAAAACGAAAGGGGTAACACTGTCGTTTTTTTTTTTGGGTCGAAATTTTGAATTTTGATATCTCAGCTCTGGAAGGGTCTAGAGCCTCCATTTTTGCACTCAGGTCAAAGTCTCGCGGCCCTCTATCATAATCCAGAGTTTTAGGAAGATTGGAAAAGTTAATTTTTCGCCCAAAAACGACAGGGGTAACACTGTCGTTTTTTTTTTCGGGTCGAAATTTTGAATTTTGATATCTCAGCTCTGGAAGGGTCTAGAGCCTCCATTTTTGCACTCAGGTCAAAGTCTCGTGGCCCTCTATCAGAATCCAGAGTTTTGAGAAGATTGGAGAAACTTAATTTTTCGCCCGAAAACGAAAAAAAACGAAAGGGGTAACACTGTCGTTTTTTTTTCGGGTCGAAATTTTGAATTTTGATATCTCAGCTCTGGAAGGGTCTAGAGCCTCCATTTTTGCACTCAGATCAAAGTCTTGTGGCCCTCTATCATAATCCAGAGTTTTGAGAAGATTGGAGAAACTTAATTTTTCGCCCGAAAACGAAAAAAAACGAAAGGGGTAACACTGTCGTTTTTTTTTCGGGTCGAAATTTTGA